TCCAATAGACATGAAGCATAACAACAGCGGACAGCGAAAGTCCGAGGCCTCGCAGCAGGAGTGGGAGCGTGTTGCGATGGACGATGAGATAGGCCATGCCAGACGCAACAACAACCGTCCAGGTACCCGCCCAGCAGGCCCACCATATACTGACCGCAGTATAGGCTGGCTGGGGCGTGGATGCGGCAGTGACCCCAAGTTCGGATCCCATGGTTCTGTTGTCGTGGGGAAAAACTAATGCGAAAGATTTCAATGCAATGGTAGACAGACCTAACGAGGGAATTTAATTTTGGCGAACACTGTCGCTCGACGTCGTCAGTCCTGTTCCCGTAGAGGAGAGAGTTGTCAGCCAAAATTGGCACTGGGCTAGTCTGCCTTTTGAGCTGCTCGAGATTTCGGGGTCGCATCTCTTCCGGACAAGACGGCTCTCCAACCTACAGCCGGGCCGCTGTCCGACTCACATGTAACCCCCATCTCTCCTATAGTGCCTTGAACTCCCATGCTACAGTAGCAGCGGCCCACAGAGCGGCAGCTTTGTGCTTTCAACATGGTTCTTGGCGATCCCCATCGCAGTGTATTCGCACGGTAGGTTCCACCCGTTCTCGCAAGCGGCCGGTCCTAACGGTTGTTTCCTACCGCCAGATGCTGCCGATCGTCCGCCATCGGTTCTCCACGGTGAGTTGTCCAGCAATGAAAGGCCATATCCACTTTATTGAGCATCCCCTATTCCTCTGGTAGTCAAGTAAGTTTGCCACCGGTATAGGCCCACCAGGGCACCGACGGACTCTCATGCGGCTGGCCAGGGGCATCATCCGGGAACATTACATACATTAGGGAGTTAGATTTTCCGATCCTTGTTCCTTTTTTCTTTTGCCCCTCTTACAGAATTTGATGCGCTTACCCAAGTTGCAATGCACGGGGGCTGATCAGCGAAAAGGCAATTGTACAGCGGCGATAGGAACGCTTTCTGGTGAGTTTGCTGCAGAACATGACGGGGAGACCACTTAATATTCTAATGAATATCCCAGCCCTCCATTGAAAATCCCTCGCTATGTCAGATCAAACATTCCCAATTCCTCTTGTTCCTCAAGACTGTGGAAACCAGTATTTTTACCTATTATAATACCTCATCTCCTGCATCTCTTCTCTTGGCTAATGTGAAAGCTTTTTAGGGTTCACTGATTTCGAAGAACATGCAAGGAAGAGCACATTCGACTCCTAAACTATAATAATAAAATTCCCAACTTGCTACCAAAGTATCTTGATAATCCTCCCTTATTCATCTTCCCTCATCTATCGTCCCTTCGCCTTCACGCCCGTAAGCATCGCTTTCCGCAAGGCAATGTCACTTCCGGTCAACGCAGCGGCCCGAATAGCAGTAGCTAATACGCCTAGGTCCTTCGGAGCTGTTGGAAACCAGAAAGAGAGAGCACCGGGCAGGTTTGAAACATATCATCCGAAGCGCCTGGTGGTCCAGCTCCACCACCACCCGGACTTAAGCTATGGAAACACGGAGCGAGAACCACGCCCATTGCCCTTGTTACACACCGGTCACATTGGGGTGCCTCTATATTACCCATGGACTCACTCAGAGATCTATTCCGCCCACTCTCGACCAGTCGTCTAGCTCGGGCCAGGGCGTTGGATTGAAGTCGACAAAGCTGTCGTAGGTTGCTGAGTTCTTGACGTGTCTGCGGCAGAACCCACATCGACCCTGCATGGTTCTGTGACCACAATGCCTGCTCGAGCCTCTGAGATTCATGTTGCGCCTTCTCAAGGGCTCGGTAAAATCGTGCTCTGATTACACACGAACGAGGGTAAGTTTTCATTTTTCTGGACGGTGCCCTCGAGCCTGAAGCTGACTATGTCAGTTACCCCAGATCATCGTTGTGTGAGGGGATAAACCTTTTCTCTCAGCTGGAGGCACAACGCCCGTTAGCGTATTCTTCTGCATCAGTAATGCAGGGTGTGAGTTGGAGTGGTAGAGTGAAATATACTTGAGAAGCCCGGGGAAGAAAAAATGGAAATGGTCGAGGTACCGATTAACAATGGTGGGAGTACATACGTCCACTCGATATATATTCAATTGCAACCTTTGAAACGGTAGCACCACCATGGTCTAGATATTTGGACTTGCAACCGTCCTGGCAATCGTGCGGATTACGGACCGTTGATGTGAACCGTGCGGATGTCGGCAAGTACTTCTTCGGCTAACCCCGTTCGTTGATTAATTATTGAGCGGAGGATGTCACTTACTAGACTTTTTTTGGGCCGTAAGATAAGGAAACCCGTTTTGTACAATTGGCATATCCTTCAGTGGGGCCATCTCCGTGGTCGCTGTGCCCGCCCTTCCTTCCTTTATCTCAAATAACGCTAGACGTAGACGGAAAGTGTATTCCTCCATCGGTCTCCTGCAGCCAGACGTAGTAGGTAAGAAAGAGAAATCGGAGGATCCAATCGTCTCCGCTTATTCCATGAATGGTGAAGGCCGGACGGTACTCTACTGGTTACGGTATCCAACTGTTCATCCGGAGTGGCAAAGAAGCCCACACTGGAGGCGCGGCTGGACCTCCGAAGGTTACCATTACTCCTGAGAACGGTGTCAGAACAGCAAGCGGCTCTCGCTGGCCCCCCGTCGATCATTTGCTGGCCACAGTAACAGTCGATCGGCTTCCCTTCTACTCTCCCTCGCTCACGGCAGTTGACTGTGCCGAGCGGCGAACATTGCTCACGTTCCTCAACCCTACCCGATTATATAAAGAAACCCCATATGTCATGTAATGTCTTTTGCATTCCACCGTTGACACTGAAACCAAAGCGAGAATACGATGCCAAGTGCTGACCAGCGTCCTACTGACCCAAATATCCTTGTCGTGGAGGCGTGGGGACAAGGATTCCTGGTGGGCTCCCTTGTTGTCATGATTGCCATCACCGCGGCCAACATGAAAAAAGGGATGCTTTTGCACAAACTCATCTTGGCAGAGGTAGGTTGCGCTGTGTCTTTGGGGCGAATGGGGCACTATCCCCTGCTGATGCGCACGCTTAGCTCGCCCTGGCCCTCGGGCACGGAACGTTCATCTTTCTCCATGCGCCTGCGTATGGCTGGTATCTTTCGGTTACGGCTGTCGGCCTCACAATTTCGCACTCCCTCCACAATTTGATTGCATGGATGAAGATTCGCGGCTTTTTCCCACCCTGGGGCACGCGACTGTATCTGATCACCCTGCTGGCGGCCCAGCCGTACTGGGTCGTCGAAATCTATGCCAATTTTTCCTTTTTCAATCGGGACCAGACCTTATTCACCACCACTCGGCCACTTGAGCCGCTGTTCCGGTGCGATGTCCGAGTGCGATTCTCCCCTACACCCCGCGTTTTGCTGATCTATAGCTAGGGACCCTTGGTGGATCTTCACCACCTGCTTTCTCCTGTACATCATCCAGCGTGGTTATGGGTGTTCGCTGGTGCAGCTGATCCGCATCAGCCCACGGTTCGGCGTCATGCTCTTGTTCATGGTGATCTCCGTTGTATTTGCGATTGTGGACATGTGTGCGATCCGGGTCGAGAACCGCCTAGGTTACCCCCCGGGGATGGAGCCGTTCTGGAAGGTGAGCGGCCGCCACTGACGAGGAGAAGATCAGCATGCTGACCCTGCGGCAGTTAGCGTTTGTCTTCAAGTGCCTAAGCGACACCATCATCTTGGATGATTTCAAAGGCGCCCTGGATCGACTGGGCTATCACTATCAGCCGGACGGTGTGCCACCGCAGGAGGCCACGCACGCTCGCGGTCAGAGCTCAAACCGGCTTGTGGACTGTGTACCCGAAGCGTCTCTCAAACCGCCCGAGCCAGTATGCCGTCCGCCGGACATGGTGTAAAGCCGGGAGTATTGTGTGTCAGCGCCAACACGCACGGCACAAGCTGAATATACATGCTGGATCTGCTGGGTATGCAGCCGCTACGCGTGGGAAGGGGCTTTTTTATTTTTATTTTCTTGGCATTTGATTGAACATGCCGGACCTTTCTATAGGCAGTTCGCAGGCTTCCCTTTTGGAAAAAGGTATACAATGATGAACATGTGTAGCTAGTTGGGAGATATACAGGAAAATTAATGTCTGCAAACGCGTGGCCACGTTACTTGGCGTCATGGCCTTACGTCTGTCTGGCTGTTTGCCTACGCCGGGCAAATCACCGCCAGGCCGATCGCTTGTTGAGTCAGCTATATTGAGGGAGTGTCCGCGTCGTGAACCCACTGCACGCTTAGTGGTACTGTATTAGGAAGACAAAGAAAACACTCGCAATGCACTCTTTGGCGCAAGGTCAAAGAATATATTTGGAAATAAATGCCTACGACGTCGTCGCCATGGTGACCTGGCCATCAAACGTGGGCGTCGCGAGGCAGCGACAGACGTGATCTGCCTCCGACGTCACACCAGGATGTGCCAATCACCTTCGACAAAAGAACCTAGACTCACGGTGTAGCTTTGACGGGCTCCATGACTGCGGATATTACCAGCAGGGGAAGAGGCGCGACACACGATGACACATTTCGCGTTCTTGACTCGCGGACGCGGTGGAGACCCACTTCGCCGAACCGCGGGTCAAATTTGTTCAACTGTGCGGCTGATTCGTTCAACCACGAACGCCACCGGCGATCAGATGTAGCTAGTTTGTTTGGACAACTTATTTCTTTATCTTGGGATCGACAGACCAGGTTGCCCTCGCTCTACCACGGCCAGCACAAACAATCACTCTTGATTAAAGATAATTTATAACTATACTCTAGAATTGAGCAGATTCTAATTCCGGCCGGACAAAATTGGTGAATGACAGTAGTTCGGGCGATGTAACTCAGACCTTGTCCTATTGGTACTCTCCTGGCCTGGCATGAGAAAGGTTCCGTTCCCTTTTCCTTCGCGCAGCGATGTTCATTCCGACTCCATGTCCTTGTAACGTGCTGAACGATGGGATTTGGTTTGAGAGGTCGAGACACTCTCACACATGCCGCTTACGCTTTTGTGCAGGCGGTGATTTTCCTGGCTTTGATGCTCTAGTTGTTCCTCCAACTTTCTATAGCTCCCCGTCAGCTCGATATCACGCAAAATGTCTCCTGGTATCGCAACAGATATAAGCTCACCGGACTCTGGTTTCAAGTCTTGAAGATATAGATCAGCACTGTTCGAGGGTGAATGACAACCGGCTTTGGGACGTCATAGAACGGGACATACTCGCAGATCAACATCGTGAGAGCCTTCGTAGACGTATCAGACACGTTATTGGGATGCTCAGGGAGCTCGTTTGTGACCACGCTGTCAACCTCCGACATTGCATCTCTATCGCTTGCGACGTTTTTATGGGTTAAAATGGCCTGAACCGAGACGGCCTGGATGTTCGGTTTCCTGTCGTCTGGCGGAGCTGATTCTGTGAAGTGTGAGGCATTCGACCTGGTACCGGAATACGGCTTCTTCTCAGCTGATGCGAGTACTCTCCTGAGTTCGTTCAGTCGTGGTAGGCTGGTTTTCATGGTGTCGAAGGGTACAAGTGATCATACGAGGAATGTGTTTTCTGTGAGAAATGTGCATACCTAGAAGGCGAGAGGCCCCAGCCTAGGACGCATATGGCGCTTTATAAAGGTCGGCTGTCTTGTTGACTTGAAAGCAAGATGACACCACGCGCTAGCCCTGCGCGAAACGATCCACCCATCGCAAGTTCGAAGTTGAAGGTAACATCGAGGCCACGGTTGTAGGCATGGGTAGATCAGGGGTCGAGTGTAACATCGCCGATCCTTGTGGCACTCAACGGTGACCGACGAGGGACTGGCCAAAAAAGTGCACTCAGGCTATTTTAGCTGACCACAACCCAAAACAATTGGGGCTGGATTTCCTGAGCTGGGATCTCAGTCCGTCGGTGGACGGATGGTTTTGTGTATGGAAGCTAAAGAGGTACCTTAGAGCTAAGAAAAAAAGAACCCATAAACAATACAGGCCACTTTAATTCGGTCCTCTAACCTCTTATCGCATGCTAAAGAAGAAGCCAGTATGCTCTCCATATCAAGACCCGCCAGAGATGTTTTCAACAAAACGTTCTAAGTCCAAGATTTTTCTAGCATCCATTAGATTTGTCCCGGGAAACACTAAGAATCTGCCGAGGGTATCGGGGTCCCGCTGGCCTCTTGGCCACATCAACATTAACAGTCCATGATCCGCGTGATCGATGGTCCGCATGTATGGACGTATGACTTCCCAGATCTGTTTGCGATAATGTCCGAGGTTGACGAGGGCGCACTTCACGCGCGAGAGGAATAACGGAGAGACGGTGACTGATTTCGACGTGTGTTTATGGACGACCGTAAGGTGCATTACTAACCAATCAATGGGGGCCAGCAGCATGACGGAGGTGTGTCGAAAGGCATCCTTGGGATGCGTAAGCGGAGATAGGATGCTGGGCCCATTCCAGGTCAGGAAATGGGGTCCTCATAAGAAGAAGATAATAACAAATAGCCGCCAGGTCCTGGTAGACGTAGGATAACTCTGATTCTAGTCGACAGCACAGCAGGCATCCAAGAGACCTCAAAATTCGGGTCCTGCTCGATGCGGTCAAAAGCACAATCACCAGGCGACGGATCTCGAAAATAGGGAGGGGCTGCTCCGACGGCGATGTCGTCGGTCCTGGGCCGCACCTTCAACTAACGGATGCTTCTGATGATTGCGACAATATGGATTGAATGCATGGAGTCTTAGAGGCAATCCAACACAGGGGAAAGAGGTTGTATATGTTCGCTAGGCTCCAGCGTAGCATATACCGACAGCGAATGGGGACGGCTCCGGGTGGGCTCCCTTGTACATTCGTCATCGCATGATCCAAAGCTGCTTAATGACCGCCGAGGACTGCCCGTGCAATCTCACAAGCAACAGCTTACCGCAACAGAGCAGCGTTAAGTGACCACGATGTGAGCACTGTAGCGGTTGTAGCTCTTCGGCCGGTCATGTTAAGCATTGGCAGGACTCCACAGGGTACAGTATCCTTGGGGGATCTGTTCGCGGCGGCACAACAGATGTGCCAGCATCAACGGCCTACCGAGTAAGGGGGTAGAGCCCCGCAATTGATTGGACCTTTCACCAATCAATAAACGAGGTAATTGGAAATCCGTCATGTCTATGTTGGGCGTGTAGGATTTGGACTGTACGGGGAAGACGAGAAGCAGCGATGGATGCCATTGGCACATGTGGGACTGACTGCCCGCAAAGAGAGTCGTCATGTCCTAGGCATGCTGAAACTCACTCTATTCTCGATAATCTTGAAGAATGCGAGAGGCAACCCACTGCTGATAGTTACTTGAGGCCGGAGCGGTGGCGGTATTCTTGTTGGGACAAGGAGCCTCCCGGACTTGACCTGGCTCGAGGTCAAAGTCAAAGAGTTTGATATCCGGTCCCGTCCGAGGCTGGACGACATCTTGGACCTGTTGGCGTATGGATTGATGGGCGCACACTAGAGTGAACCAAGATTAGTCATCGGGCGCACATCCAACTCGATCTGTCAGAAGCGCTCTCATCACACAGCCGTTGTAGGTTGACATATGAATCGATCGGTCGGGTGGGAAATAAACCTACCACCGACAGCTAGCTTCCCACGGCGCTTGCTCAGGTGACCTTGGGCGATTTCTCTGGCCATGAGTGGGCCCCGACACAGTTTAATTCGTTCTCCGAACCCATCACCGGGATTAGCGGATGTGCTCTTTGTAAGGTAATACAGTTGAAATTCAAGAATCTATTGGAGTCAGGGCAGCGTTATTAATGGCTGCAGAGGGATTATCACATACCTTGAATTCACCGCGGTCGAGGTCCAAGAGGTCCTGCATCCAATCGCCCAGCCAGCATTGGTGTTCTAGGATTCATTAGGATCTCTGCGGATTGGGACAGTGCATGGAGAGACGGCCATACCAAAGTCTTGCATCTGCCAAACGATTTGCAACTTGCGTACCATGACCCGCCGCTGCTCGCTCTTCTGGACGAGCACGCGGATATAGGGAAGCACTCGCAAAATGCCAATGTCCTCTACGATGAACACGATCGTCCCAAACGGAGAAAAGTCGATCGATCGGCCGTATGGCCCCAGCAATAGTGCAGGCTGTCGACGCTGGTGTAGCCATTCGCGGAGGTATAGTCGTGTACTGAGTCTGGAGGCTCGTGGTCGGGTCAGAATGTACAGGATGCGCGGTCCGGGCGGGTCATCCCAGTAGCCAATATAGAAGGGCTGGAGTTGGAAGCACGAGCGAAATCCCGCGTGAGGTAACCAGAGGTATACGTACTGCCCCGGCCGGATGTACCAATGGGGGGACACTGTAATGTCCATGCGAAGCAGCTCATGAAAGGGACGTATGCTTACGGCGGGCCGTCCCGCACTCCAGCGTTGTTGGACGAAAACTGCATGAGAGACGGCAACGGCACTCAGCACGATCCATAGGGCCCCAGCACCAACCACTTGCCAGCGGGATTCTGACCCTTGGTCCCACGTATGATACGCCAAGGCCACCATTGCTGTGATCACCAGAAGGTAGTGGATTTTCATGGCGACCTGACAGTGCCGCCGGACGACCGCATGCAGGGTCACGGGAATCATCATCAGAATGGCAGCAGCTGCCTAACCCTGGTTAGTGGTATCGCTCTTGGGTTACAGTCATCATCGAGGGGCGGCGTAGTGGACCGACCAGTAAGGGCACCCAGTCATGCCTCAGCGAGGCGATCGGGTTATCCGCTCTGGCGATGGCAATGGCTCCATGAAGCAGGGAATGGGCGGCCATCACCCGCCCAACCCAGCGATGCGACCACGCAACGGCAGAGCGGCTGATTCCGAGCAGATGGGCCGGGAGGCCAAAGGTCAGGCCCGTACCGAGCGGCAAGAGGTTCAGGACGGCGAGCTTCGCCGCGCGTTGCTGGACGTCGGCCCAGCCATGGGCGGACACGAGTAGGAGGACAATGTTGGCGCCCAAGAGCACCCCAACCAAGATCGCCTCGAGAGCGGTGGCGATGTCAATAGTCTGGAGAAGCCACGGCAACTCGCGGCCGAGACGCCGTCCAATGGAGGCCGCGATGTGGCGTTGGACAGTCCACCGACCAAGCTGGTACGCTAACCGCGTGAGAAGCCAGACGCCCAGCAAGGCAGCAACCCATATCCCGTACCAGTCAACGGGCTGGGTTTGGGTAGCCTGTTCATACAGGTCTGAGAGGCCTGGAGGCATTGTCTCTGGGGGAGTGGAAGTGGGATCTGGCAGATGGGAGATGGGAGATGTTGGCTTATAAGCATTTTCACGGGGTCGCCCTTGGGCCACCGGCACAGCTAGATGCTACATACTTTCATTCTTGATGGTTGAGCTCCGCGGCCCTCCTGTTGTAGTTCGAGATGGTGAGATGGTCAAACATATGGCCGGCACGTGCATTTGCCCGTGTAACAACGAGGTTCAATCTGGAAAACGCAGGGTCCTATTACCCCTTTCAATCCCATGCCTAGGAATCACAAATAAGAGGTGCATGGACGATGATCTATAGGAGCAGTAAATGAGTATTTAGCGAGCTTCTGCTTCTGTCCGGCAGGTTCAGATTTTGACGGCCTTTTCACCATGGTGGCTTATAGAAAATCACCACTTCATCTTACCCTAGCTCTACATTCAAAAAAAATGAAATAAAGTATCATCACAACTTAAATCTAAAAGTGAAATAATACATTATGCTGACAAAGGTTGTTACGTGAAAATGGAATTGTGTCCGACCGCTACGTATGCCGTTCTATAGTACAGAAGCACCGCTTGAACTCTAATGAGCTGTGGGAGCAAGCCAGTAATTCTACAGACCCTTGTATGGAAAACTTCAGACACTCCACTGCGGAGCAAATATATGAAATGCAAATAAGGTCAAGAAAAGATAAATCACAGTCTCCTCGAAGTCTGTGCAGTTACAGTATACGTCCAGGGATACACATTTTGCTATAACAAGAGCTCAAAGGCAAGACTCCAGCCGGCTGATCACACAGAATGTTTCCACGGGTTCCAATTCAGGGATACAGTATTAGGAGCGCCTGGACCCATTAAACCTGTCCTGTGCAACGAGATGATTTGCATTTGTGGCAACTAAGTATGAAACAGACGTCCCAGTCATTCTTTGCTGTTCTATTCATTCATTGACATATCACAGTAATACATTGTACAATATGATCTTGGGAACCGTATGTGGATTGTAGTACAGAAAAGCACCAACCTATCATGAACGACATTGTATCACAATTCAATCATATCCAGGCATGCAAAGTTCCACGTTTCTACTATGCAAGCGGTTCCTGTTTCTTGTGAGTGTTGAAGCCCCACGCCTAGGTCGAGTGATGATGCTCGATCTGGTCTTCCGGCACCGTGACATTACACGATGACTCCTGTCTGTTGGCACCGACGTTATCAAACGGGCTGACTTCAATCCCCTGGTAATCCATCATTATTTGTAACCACGGGGGTACTAGCACCTCGAGTTTCGCACAAGGGCATGCGCAGATGGTTGTTGATGCAAGCTGTGGCGGTGGAAGTCCGTCTTGGACAATGCTGCGGAAACAGACGCCAATGGAGTCCAGGGAGGGAATAGCATTGGAGACTTAGTCGGGAGCGCCAAGCTGGCTTCCTCGACATGCTGCACATGAGGGAATCTCGGAAAGCTCGGGGGTGCAATTTCTAGTATAGAAGAGAGCCCGAGTGCATTGGACGAGGGGATGGGGTCCGGTGCATTAAAATAGGGACCTGGAAGGTACAGCTCCCGTGAGTAGTCTCCTGGGAAGGGCATGACGCCGCTTCTGCTCGGATACTGAGGCTGTTCAGCCTCACCTCCAAAGGGCCACCCTGCCGCCTGTGATGCAGGAATAGACGGATGTAAGGAACCGTCGGTCTCGGAACCGGTCAGAGGCCAGGTTCAACCCCAGAAAGATGCGGGCAATGTCTCCCACGAGTATGGCTCCGTAGCCCACGGCATCGAGTACCATGCATCTGCCGTAGGATCCCCTGTCGAGTTGTCTGCGGGCATATACGAGTTCGGGAGTGCGATTGCGCTAACCGGGGGTCCCCAGCCTGCATTTACGCCAGTTTCGGATGGGAGAGTGCTGTTTCCATCATCTATAACCTCATACCTTTCCCCACGAGCAGTAACGTCTGCAGGGCACGTAATGGGTGAGCCACGTTCAGCACCACTGTCTCTTGGGATGGCGACATCGGAAGCGCGGCCCATATCGGGCACGCTCCATCGGTGTTCCTCCATGGATGCGCTGGCGTGAGCCTCATACATTCTTAAGGTGTCACTAGAAGGCTGGTATGGATAAAACCTGCTGACTGGCGACTTCTCCGCGCGTGGTTCGCTAGACATCCTAGTACGATGGTTCACGCTCTGTCGATCTGACCGAGGAACGCAAGTGCTTCCGCTTCGCAGGGCACGCTTCGCAGGGCCAGATGCGAGAACACTAATAGCCCGTTACGTTAGTCATACGCGCTTATCACCGATTTCGCATCATACTCTTCCAGTTCCTGGTGATTCTGCGCACCTTGACTTTTCGACGATGACAACTCTCACAAGCTCGTTCCACACTGCGCTGTTATCCTTCCATCAGCTAATGCTCACTCAGCAAACGGTGGCAGTTACACTTCATATTGAGGAGGGTGGAACATAAACATACCTTAGTACGAAACGTGTTCGAGTAATATGGAAACGGTCGAACGTAAGGAACGCAGTCGTTTCCGCTGTCATGACACCTGTCACAGGGCCAGATGCGAGAGCACTAATACGCAGTATTAGTTAAAGACGCTGTCCACCGACATTCGACTATAGTATGAATTCTTGGATTATGCGCACGTTTATCTTCAAACGATGACATCTCCCACAAGGATGGTTTAAGAAGCGCTGCTACCCTTTCATCAGCTAATGCTCGGTCAGCAGACAGTGGCTGTTGCAATGTAGTAGAAAAGAGTAAAATATGAAAATACCTTAGTAGGCACGTTTAAAGACGTTCGGTGCTCCACGACAGGCTCGGTGGCATCAGTGTCCTCTCGCTGCTGACGGACCGGGGCCGCAACCGAGACAAAGGCTTCCGCTGCGGTCGCAGCTGCAGTCACAACTGCACCAAGCCGTTCATTGTTCCCCAATGCGTCTTTTGACACCTGAGTATGTAACTCCTCCAGCGGAGGCAGTGGCCGCTGCTCGTTCATGAGTGAAAAATGGCTTGGTTGGTCCGCGCACAGATGCAAAAAAAGGTTATGACTCGTGAGAAGATTAGCACACGCCCCAAAGACCCTGGTCTGGGTTTTTCTGTGTTCGCAATGAGCGGCCTATCATCCACCTTTATATAGCCCTGGTTTAACGGCAGACTCAAATCACGCAGCAGCAACATAGTATGATAGAATGACGCATGAACAATGCTGGACATTTCAATACACTCTCTTCTTGAATTATAGAAGTGCACATCTTTTCCCTATCCAGTCAGTCTGCTGTACAGTCTGCTCGGTAACAGCCAAGGTGATCTTCCAAAAAGGCAGCAAACGGTTTCCCGTCCCTGTGACGAGTCACAGGGATCAGGGGAGCGGCGTCGCTCACAAGAGCAATATGCTGGCTCCCAGGAGCACAGATTTTTGGAGCTGGGACTGTGATCCGGGGGATTTGTGGCTCATGAAACCCCTGGGCTACGCCTTCCTACGTGGCCGCGGTGAACAGTCGTCTGCAGGAGAATGAGGTGCTATGGCCTTCGGCGCGGACATGGTCTCCTGGAAGTCATTGCTCAGTACACGGGCCTCTCAGTTACACGCACTGTACGAAATAACTGAGAATAATTATGCATGAAAACCTCGCATCTGAGGCTACCGACGCGAATACCCAACGTATATGTGATGAACATGCCGTAAAAGCCATACTTTCGAATGAATAGCCTGCAGTTGCAGCCAGGAGCTTCTCGTCCATCGGCCATTCCCCGTAACCGTTCTATATCTCATACGGAACGGGCAGTGGCACTGCAGTAGACTGACTGTGGACAGCTTCGGGTCCAGGGACTGCAGGCTGCGGAAGAAAGCAAGCAGAGTCAGATAGCCCTAATTCTCCAACAGGGAAGTGAGGCTGGGTGCCTGTGAAGTTATGCTTGGTGGGGACGATTTGAGAATAGGACAGCCACTACCACCACACGGAGGTGGCACATTGCGGCGGTCCAAAGCCATCTACATCGAACGTGTTCCGCTTGATGACGATTCCATCTTCTGCAGGGAAATGTCCTGTCGAGTGCTCACTGACGCGGTTCTCATCCAACGGGGTAGACCAAGCGTTAGGCTGCGAACTCTGGTCGGGTTTGGAGGACGCCATTGAATACACTTCCAATTCCGGGGAACGGGATTTTGCGGTCCGCGATCGATTCTCCTTATTTGACAACGAGAAACGATATTCCGGGTGCGCCCCGGCGTGGTTCCGTTTCTCCATCACCGCGAGCATCTTGTACTTCTTCCGAATGTGGGGTGCTTCCATCTTCCCCGGCGAGGATGGAGATGGCCCGGTGATTGTGCTGCGCAAGCCAGTGCTTTGCTCGATCGCTGTACGCCAACCCGGTACAGTATGAATGGGTTCGTCGGGCGTGGGATCCTGCCATGCCGTTGCAGTGCCTCCTGGCGGCGCGTCTCGACGGGACGGTGTACCCAGGCGTACATGTCTCTAACCGGGATGTGCTGCATGCCGTTGGGCAGTGCACTCAGCGGACATGGCAGGTCCAGATCTTGTCTGCTGATCGCTGTGTGGTCGTCTCGGTCGTTCCTTATCGTGGCTACGGCGCGATTCGACCGCCGGAGTCTGCTGTGCCGGCGCAGAGGCTCTGATTTCGTCTGGTCCGCGTCGGCGCCCTTTTCTGGGATCGGCGAGTTTGCGTGGACCTGGGTTCCATCAGACATCTACAGACATTAGTATTCACGCAGTTGGTACACCGCGTCTTCCAGCTGAGGCGGAGTTGGAAAAGATTCCACCGGCTGTGGCACCACAGAGTATGGGTTATCGGTCGCAAGCTCTGGCACAGGGACAGGCTGATTGAAGCTCTAGGACCATCAGAGTATGAGACTTAGCAGTTCCTAATTCAAGATTTGCCGTGCACGCCTACCGCAGTATATTCCCCCAAAACTTGGGGAAGAACATCCGACGTGCTTAGGAGGTGCTGCCCGAGAACCTCACGAGCGGTATCAAGCACGATTCTCGGCTGGAAAATTGGGTGTGGTGCGACAGATATCAGGCCTCTTGATGCGGATGGCACAAAAGATGATATTTCTGTCCCAGTTTCCTTGGGCGTGGAGCCAGTTATGGCCGCAGATGGTTCGGACATGCTCTCAATGAACTGGACCGGCAGCATCCTCCTCGAGTGGCAGGGTGATGATTCAAATGTCAATGACCAAACAGTGACGTGGTGAGCGAGCGCATGTTAATATCAGGATGGACCACAACCGCAGTCTCGAGGCCTTATAGAGAGGAGGTATGAATCAGGGACCTTCCATACTAAGTTGGCCACGAACACTATAGCTATAGTTTGCTCACCCTGAATCAATAGTTAGATCCTTCCAGTTCGCAGCTGGTGGGACCTAATCTACTGACACCTAAGAGCCCCTACCGACCTAACGACGTACTAGTTACGGACGAAGACGAGAAGGGTACAGTATCCGGATTGGGTTAGACTGAGTCGGTATCAGTGTACCCCGGCAATGGTGAGAGTGATTTGAACGGATCCACCGCCAGAGATGAAGGACCGTGGCAGGCGGATTGGGCAACAAGCTTAGGTGGGAGGGGAGGGCTCCGATGGCCCAATGGAGGCATGTCGAACAGCAGCTACATGACTTGCTGGTCTCCAGGCTCCACCAATCCTAGCCATTCGCAGTGCAAGATACATTTTCCTTGCTGAACCGTCTTCCCGTGAAAGTATGGTGGAATAGATGCCGGCCTGGACCAAGTGGTTCGGAGCTCCAAACGCCATCAGCTAATCCTGTCGTGGTGCTAGGGGAATCGGAAAATACAACCCCCCCGGAACTGAGACCCCGGAATGCGAGTCCAATCAATAGACATGGGAAGCTTTTGAACGGCTCTAGAGGCAGGATCCCACATCACAACTCTTCGTCCAGTGTGATTGGCCCAGATGGTCCAGGGTTGACTGCTCGCTTCGGGAGATCGAGATCCAACCTTTCCCAGCCCTAGAGATCCACACGTAGACCTCGTTAAAACCCAACCAAGACTGTTGAATATCACGGTGCCTGTGATGAGTATCATGGTGGCTGAACCTTATGGCAGGGATGGGACGGGGGCAATAGCGGAGCGGTCATTCGAATCAAGCTGAGGTCTTGCCGCCCCAAAAAGACGCGCGTGTTGGGACCACGGGACTCTGGCGCGATGATCTGGAATTGCCTGCCATGGCACTAAGACAGCACCGAACGCCAGCCCGTTGCCATGCGATCGCGATCGAGTGAAAGCCGTCCTGCGTTCTAGTCCTATTCCAGTCGCGTTAGAGCAAATTTTAAGAAATGGACCCCGTGGTCCAGATTTCGATTTGTTGTGGCTGGAGAGCGCCTTTAATCGAGGTAACACAGGGACTAATTCGCCATCATGATCTACGACACACTCTTTGCTCTGGGAAGGATTATCCGGACGTGACCGAATGCGCATAATCTCTGGCCAACGCGGCTCGGGGCTGGAGTGCTTCGCCGTCCGGTACCTCGAAGTGGGTTGTCCCAAGAGGCGGGATTTGGGCCGAATTTGCCGACAGTGTTAGTCGAGTCCAGTAGCGGGGACACCTGAACGCCCTTTGTGTCGCATTGAAAGCTACCCGGGATCTGGGTATTTGGGCTAGCATGACTGTGGTCCGCTCCTGCGGCTGCTTCGGGTTGACTTTTTTAGGAACGGAAAGGGACATCGGCCTGTCGATCTTGATATAACAGCCATTGGACGGCCCTGATCCCTGGCATCACCACCGCTCAAGCGCAATGCAACGCAGCTAACGATCACTCTTCTCCTTGTGACATGAATGTAACCTGGCCATTCTAAGCTCTTTTCTGGACCGCGTTATCTGCTCCCATGTCCCATGCTGTAACACGGACACTTAGCGTCAGTGAGGCCTCGGTCTTTATGATTCGTTGGGGGCCAACCGCCAATGTAGGTCATAAAATAGCCTAGCTATGGTCGGTCAAAGAGTAGGCCAGTCCCGCTGGGGGATTGGCCGACTATATCCACGACTTTTCGGTGGGTGGGAGGTTTGACGCGATTGTTCCACGCCATTCACCTGCGCGGGCTGTGGGCACACTGGTGTCTCACGAAGACAACCGTATAGCAACTGCGTAAGCTGCAGCATGTGCTAGCAATTGGAGAGTAGCTCCACCACTTTTATAAACCTATTGTGATCAATAATGGACAGCGAGGGAAGGAAAAATGTACAGAGGATGTGCCGGAGATACTATATGAAATGAAACCGGACTATTACAGCGGATCAAGTCCATGCTAGCATCTAGGTCCTCTCCTTATGGGATCAAAGCGCAGATCCCGGTCACGCGTGGGTTAACGTTGATCCAGCCTGCTCGGGAAACCACACGGACTGTTACGGTATCTGTCTCCAACGTACAGCGCTTGTTTGCTGTGATAGACGTCCCGCACAACTTTGAACTCTTCCATTTCTATTTCCAGGATTTGTCTTCGAGAAGGCCCTCACAACAGACATTTCATTTCCTCTACCTTCACCAGTCTTGTCCAGAGCTACACCAGAGTCCAGGGGTGGGTTTCCCCGGTCAACTCACGATCGAACAAGGTGAAGAGGCTCGCCATTAGTCAACCGTCCCTCCAGCGCCGGCGGATATTCTCGTCGTCAAGAGTTGGTGGCCTTGCCGCGCGTTGTACCACTTTTGGTGCCGCTGCCAAATAAGGACCGGTGGATTTGGTCCACTGTCTCCTCAATATCCCGATTCCACTGCTTCTGCTCCCTCATGCTAGACTCCAAAGCGCTGATTTGCGTCAGTCTAGTTGAGAGAACGGCAACGTTACACTTACTCCACCCGTTCAGATAGTCTAGATGTGTGTCAGCTTGTCATGTGATGCTCTTCGAACAGTAGGATTCGTGAAACTGTACTCATCTAGAAGAGGGAAGACCTGCCCTTGGCCATAGTCCCCCTCGCTACCGTCCGCCATTAGGCTGGGGCTTGTACCGGAATGATCTATGGCCGCTGGATCGCCATCATCACGCTGTGCGTTATCATGTTTCTCCGTCCCCACGGCGTAGCTACCGGCACCGATCCGGACAGGGTTTTGCGCACACTATATGCGAGACGTCTCAACATGCGAGGTCTCAAGTCCTAACACCGTCCGCAGAGCCTGTAGCCGCTTATACTGGGGCGGGCCAGTTGCATTCATGTCGGACTACCGATTTGCCCGGGGAGACGCAAGTTGAATAAGGACGGTTCGATCCCAGGGCACGGAACAACTGAAGACAACACGGAGAGGCGACAAGCATGCGCTAGACGAAACTTGGGTTTATATATTGAAGCAGAGTTGACCACTAACCCCCTGGGCGGCCCTCTCGGGCTGGGTGTTGTTCGGACCAGAAAGTTCGAATCATCACCGAGCGGCTCAACGTCGAGTCGAGGCAATTTTGGGCCGACGAGTGTAGATGGTTGGTAGTTAACGTTTCGGGCAAGGTGGGCAACTTGTTCGTTTCACCGTGTAGAAACCCCAATTGGTGAAAGTCCTGATTTGTCTTGGTGGTCTGCCCGTGGTTTTTGAATCGGCTGGACTTCCAGCGCCGCTGTTCTCAGGGGAATGCGACTGACTGTTAATACATGGCATAGGTCTAGACAATTTGGATCCGTCAAGACTCCGAGGGATATGGAGGATAGCAGTATATCATTCGCAAACAGCGCTCGGCTGGAATCAGATATTATCTGTTTGGGGCAATTCAATGTAGCGTTTGGTAAAACCCTAAAACGGCAGTGATCAACAATAACCCGCGGGCAAACTCAATCAGTGTAATGGCGCGCACAGGAACGAATTAAAGAGCCGTCTGAGCTCTGCTCTTCACTCGCCATCCCGCCCTTACTCTACGCATTGCCGCCCTTGTTCCTATGACAGTCGTCGCATCATCAGTCGAGATAATCTACGGCCAACCGATAACACCTCGTGGCCGTCTAGCCCATCACGTTCCAAAATGGGTCACAACCGTGCAACATGCGACAGTCCGTTAGGCAGCGTGGCCGAAGGACCGTGTCATCGGGCGGGTATCAAAGGCCCGCTTTCACAGGGCAGCTTCATGGCCTGTTTCGATCCACATCAACTGGCAAGCACTCTTCAAGCCATGAGTGAACCTATGGCCATGCCTCATGCCACCAAAGGTGAATTCACGGCACGTGCACGTTCGTTTACGTCAGACCCCCAAGTCGCGTGCGGATATATGGGTATGCACACAGAACACATATGCAAAAAGGAACCATTATCTAACAACCGGACACAGGCTCCGAGGGTCTACTTGCCGGCTTCTACCCGAAGACGCCTCCTAACAGCCCCCGCACGGTTCCTTTGGAGCCTGTGCTAACTGAGCACAGGTCTATGTGAGAGAGTTGAGCTTTATCCGAAGAACATGGTCATCAGTGCTAGCTGCTACGACGGTGATGCGCTTTCATTCATTGGGTTGGTATAATCTATGCAATTTTAATTTGGGGGATACGGGGGTGTCGGCTGTTGCATTGTGTCTGTGCAATTCCTGATAGGCTAGACAGGCCACATGTCTCTAATAACTGTGTAATGAGGAGTACAGTAACGTGAGATATTCACAATGGACCGAATCCCCTGGGCAAATTTTGTAGACTTGCGCAGTTCCGCTGGCCTGCACGGTGAGCAGATGAGAGCATACCTACAAAGCACATTCCAGCGAAGGTCACCCTTTTGTCGAGACACGATGGGAAAACGAACGCAAAGAGTCACGTAGATCGCCTGCCCACAGGAACTCGTAGATCCGACAAGGTATCATATCCACTGCGGTAGTGGGGCACGGAAATTGGGAAGGTTCAAGCGGCGGTCCCATTCTTCTCTGGCTCGAGCTTCCTTCCCGTGCGAGTCGGACAGGGCCTCTTGCAGCTTGCGCATCCCAAGGAGGATGCGTCGGTTTCCCACCGGACTGACTTCGGGTTCAAATCCATGCTGCAGGATCAGATTATCGGACACCTCGACTGTCACGGCCGCGAGGTCGTCGAAGATTTTGAGGCATGTGCGGAAGAACCGGTTCTCATCTTCCTAGCGCTTCCATTGTCGCCACTTCTCTTCCAAGGTGTCTCGCAACGAAGGTGGACCGTTCTTTTTGGCATTTTGAAGCCGCACACGGGTCGTTTCGAGGGCCATGGTTGTTCCCCGGGCCAGCGCAATTTGATGGTCGATCAGATTGATCCCCGGGAGGTCATGCCTTGCAGGAGAGTCGGTTGGTCTCCTCCCCTTGCGCAGGATGGAGAGCGGGGGAACTGGGGTGATTTCAGGTTCTCGACTGTAGATGCTCGACGCTGCATCGTTGGCTGCTCTTCTCGTCCAAATTGCAGACAGCGGCATGGCTCCGTTGGAGATTAGATTAAAAGAAAAACGGCCCCCTAAGCCGAACAAAAGGGGGAAGAACCAACCCCAACCAAAAAAAACAAAAAAAAGTGGGGGGGAAAGTGTGAGATTTGGATTGGGTGTATGCGTGTAGACACACTCAGAAGACGGACTAACGCGAGTCTTCCTCACTGACACCTCCCGGGACCCTCATATTTCGGGCTGGGACATTAGCCGTTCGTTGGTTAAATCACGACTTTACTTTTCCTGGACCCGACCGTGTGAAATCTTGCTCATGCTCCGGTTGCTGGTAGGCGGACAAGAACGTCAATTGGGTGTCGAGTGCTGCTGCCGAGCGTAATTTTTTGTCCGTGGAACAGGCCTGCCCGCTATCCACAAGACGGTTTACCTACTCTAGCATCACCCGGTCCATCTGCAGACCCAGGATGCAATTCTATATTTCAGGCGCTCCCAAGCCGCTTCCAGCGGGCGTCAATGCGCAATACTTGACACGATTGGCACCGTCACTATTGATCGGTATATGTGTGCGCATTCGCCCCAAAAAGAATACCAATTACTACGGTAGATAAACTAGAATTGAAGAAGCTGCGTAAAGTCACCGGAGCCGGTTGCAATGTCATGATCGTTGTCAAATGCAACCCCTCCGTCCTCCTGTGTAGTCCACATATCCGGCGCCGCTGTCGTTGCCGGTAGAGCAGTTCTCAAGGCGGCAGGATCCGCATTTTCCGGTAAACCAGCAGGGCTCCAAAGTCGCTGGTGCCAATCCGTAACGGTATGCTGCATTTCAAGCACCAATTGTTGAGTT